AAATAAAATGTATTGCTTGAATCATTTTTTAAAAATTATTTTCAGTTTTATTCACTGCCGTATCACCAGCATCTAGAAAAGCGCCTGGGACACAGTAAATGTTTGATGAATGAATGAATAAGGGTATACAAATCTTGAAGAGCAGATATTCAGTCAGGCTGCCTGGGGCTTCATCCCAACTCTTCCACTTAGCTGTGTGATCTTGGATCATTTACTTAATGTCTCTGTGCCCCAATTAAATTGATCAGTAAAAGGGGACAACAGCAGTCTACCTTGTAGAATTGGTGAGGGAGTCAATAAGATCAAGATACAGGAGGCCAGGGAGACAGCTCAGTAGAATAAGCACTTGCCTGGCAAGCGCAAGGGCCTGAGTTCAATCCCCCACTTCCACAAAAAAAAAAAAAAAGATACAAAGAGCTTAAAAAGGTGTCTGGCTCCTAGGAAGCAGTCAGTTCCATGCTGGCTCTCTCTACGCCAGCGTCAGCTCCAGCCTCTGCCCCGTCTCTAGCACAGTGCAGGAAGAGGAAATCAGGCCTCCTCCCAGCTCTGGAAGCAGGGACCCTAGGACACCGCTTCAGCCTGGAGTAGAAGCCTCACCGATCTGCTTCTCCAGGGCAGCTGCTCCACAGACTGTGGCCCGGGGAAGGATCCCAGGGTCGGTGAAACTCGTCTGCAGCAGGCAGCTCATGACAAAGAAGAGGATGGCAAGGATGATGGGGATCGCGAGGGTCCCAAGCAGGGACTAGACGAAGAAGAGGGTGGGGGTGCTGAGGATGTGCAGCAGCATGAGCAAGAAGACGCCGCCCGACCGGCCAGCATGAGGCAGCCGCCGCAGCAGAAGCGGTTGCAGCCCGGGAACACCTCCCACTTGCGCCGCCGGCAGTGGCCCAGGCTCCAGGGCCGCTGCCATCCAGGAGAGGCAAGCGGAAGGGCGGCCCTGGGGCTGATCTGCTGGTACTTGCAGTCCTTCTTGCGGCCGGCCGCGGGCTGGCCGGGCTGCTCCAGGACCGGACCGAGCAGCGGAGGTCTTGAATCTTTTTTAAGTGTACACTTCAGGGAGTGGTATTAACCTTCATGGTTCCGTATGGCTATACTTCAGAACTTTACATCTCCCCAAAGAGAAACTATACCTCTTAACCCTAACAACAATCCCAATCCAAGTCCTTCATAACCGCTACTCTGTCGCTATGAATCTGCCTATTCTAACAGCACCTCCTATAAAATGGGATGTCTGGGTATTTGTTCTTTTTGTGTCTTGCTTATTTTACTTAGCACAACGTTTTCAGAGTTCATTCACAGGCCAGGCATGGTAGCGCAAACCTGTAGTCCCACCACTTTGGAAGCTGGGGCAGAAAGAAAGCTGCAAGTTTGAGGCCAGCCTGAGCTGCATAGTGAGTTGAAGGCCACCCTCAACCACAAAGCAAGACCCCACCCTGTTTCAAAAAAAAAGTTCATTCATGTTATAGCATATATGTGAATTTCATTTCTTCTTAAAGCTCAGTAATATTCCACTGTGGGTATATACCTCATTTCTTTTCATCTATTTATCCACTGACACACATTGGAGTTGCTTCCGTCTTCCAGCCGCTATGAATCAGGCTGCCATAAATACTGGTGTAGAGGTCTTTCTGATCCTCTGCTTTCAGTTCCGCTGGGCATATCGTACCTGGGGTCAGGCCTGCCGGATCACACAACAGTGCTGCTGCTGCCGCCGCTG